TCTGAACTCCTGTTCTTACTCTGAGTGAGAATACATTCCAATTTCCCATTGCAGGTTCTCGCTGACGGTGTTGTTCCCGTTTAACCTTTATTGACGTGCTATACTGGCATCGCTGTCTGTCTCCTTCGTACCGAAAGGGTATCGACTCCGTTGCTGATTGATTTCTTCGTCATCGTTTTGTCGATCCTTGGCATCCGTTATCGGCTGCTATGCTTCCGACTGCCAGAATGCAATGAGCAGGTTCTTTCTTGGTCTTTTTGCAGGTTGTCTCAGTCCCGCAATTGCCTACGCGGCTCTGAGCTGATAAAATATTCGATGACGGCAATATCATGTTGGACGGGTAGGTAAGTTTTACGGTAACTTCGCCGCGGTCTCCAACTCCCCTCTTTTCTCGTACGGGCTTGGGATCGGCAACGGCGAAGTTTCTGTTAGAACTCTTAAAACCTAACTTGGACATTCTGTGCGTTACCTAAGTTATTATGCGCAAGATTCATACGTTTTGAAGACTTCCTCTTCCTTTCAAATGGCGGACGCCGCAATTTTGGGAGGTTTTTTTAAACAGTGGTGCTTCTCATCTTAGGTAGGCTCTCTCAAGTGAACTTCAAGCACGAATGCCGCGTTCGAAGTGTAATCGCCACACCTCTTCGTCGCATTTCAAGTAGGTTTGCCCTCGGAGTTTGTCCTTAACAGAATTTTTGCCACGTGGAGGATATTTTCTGTGTTGTTTCCAATAGCATTTTGAATAATTCTTTCAACGCCAGGTTCGCAGATCACATTTTCTAATTATTGCATGGTACTTACATTTATGTTAACTCGGTTGAAAGAAAAGTCGGATTCCTTGATATTGTGATGTTAAGTTAATCATCGTTCTGTGTATTGAGACGAAGTTAATGAAGGAATCACGAAGTGTGTGGTTTTAGTGTGATGAAGATGAACCGTTTAACCCGGATTATGTGATGATTGACCGCATTTTGGACACAATCTCGGTGGAGGAGTGTTCTGAAAGTCCAACTACCATGTCTCCCGCCGATGAACCGACAGTGAGTTCTCTGCAAGAGCTGCACGTTGACAAAAAACGCGTCACGAAGCGGTATCTGGTGAAATGGCGTTCTCTGCCCTACGATGAATCGACGTGGGAAGATGAAAAAGACGTCGACCCAGTAAAAGTTGAAGAATTTCGGCGTCGTTCTGACTTTTCGCTTCATACAGTGAGTGTTTGTCGATTCAGAAAAAAAATCGCTTTGTGTCTCTTGTTTTTAAGTAATTAGTCTGTTTTGGTTGCCATATTTCTTTAACCA